CTGTGCCGCGCGCCGTCGCATTTTCGCCAGTGCAGCCCGTAAATCTGAAACGTGTACGACGCATATAGCTAAGCGTTAGGGGTGCCGCGGATGGAAGGACGCACGGGCAATTGGACAGACGGGCGAACGGATGGGCTCATTAAGGGTTAGACACACAGACGAACGGACGCATGCTTCGCCCCACTGATCATCATTCACTTGGTGGATATGCTTGATGATGATGATGATGATGATGATTAAAGGCCTCCCCTTTGAATCGGGGTGACGGCATGCGCCATCTAGCCTACCTTAATAGTTCGAGTTTAAATTTTGTTCTCAACTCGGATGTCTTTTTAATTTTGCCCAGCCGCTACTCTTGGCTGGGATGTTATTTTATCGACTTCTCTGGTTTTCCTCCACCAATATTCCAGCCGCTGCTTAGTAATACCTGCTGCTGAGCAGTTAATGCTTCCATCAACCGCGAAGCCCAGCGCCTCAGGAAGAGTGACCTTCCCCCCATTTCTATCCGGCTGAATTTTTTGGCATTCCATGACTATGTGGTCGATTGTTTCTTTATTTATGCCACATCCAACACATGTCTCATCCTGTGACGAATATTTGCTCCTGTAAGTTAGAGTTCTCAAGCAGCCGGCCCGCGCCTCAAAGAGCAACGCACTATCTTTATTGTTGTCATAAAAGTTTTCTTTCCGGATCTCTTGTTTGCTTGCCTTGTAGATTCCCAGCGATTCCTTCTTTTCCATCCTCTCTTTCCACATGAGCGTCTCTGTTTCCCTCACTTGCTTTTTAACTGGCCCCCTTTGCTTATTTGCCGTGGTCAAGTTATATTTAGTCGCCAGCTTTCGCGTCCTCTTCCGCCATTGGGTGTCCACACTTTTCAGGTACAGGTATCTGTGCACTCTGGCTGCCCAGTTCTTCTCATCTAAATGTCTAAGTCGCTCCTCAAACCGTATTTTACTTTGTGCTTCCCGCGCCTCAAATGAAGCCCAAGCCATATCGCCTTGTACAGCCTCGTTTGTAGTCTTACTGTGAGCTCCCAGAGCTAACCTGCTGACTGCCTTTTGGTTAACCTCCATCCCCGACAGGATATCTGTCTTTAAGCATAATACGGCATTAGAGAACGTGAGCGCCGGCACCATTACCCCTTTCCAGATGCCTCGTACTACCTCGTACTTATTGTGTCCCCAAAGTGCTCTATGTTTCATTACTGCTGCAATTCGTCTTCCTTTCAGTTTGAGGTGTTCTTCATGAACATTCAGGTAGCCCTTTCCTTCATTAAACCAGATCCCCAAGTATTTCTACTTATTTACTAATGGTATGTCTTGCTGTTGTATCCTTATTGGTGCTACATGAGCTTCCTCGTTGAACACCATGACTCCAGATTTCTGTGGGTTAAAATGTAGGCCTAGGTACGTTGCCTCATCACCATAAATGTCAGCCAGTTTTTGAAGTTCTTCCGCATTATCCGCCAGCGGCAGCACTATATCGTCTGCGTACATCAATCCCGGAATCCGTTGCTCCACTAACACTCCATTGCTTCGGTGTGACAAATCAAAGCCCAATCCACTCTCCTCTAGTCGTCTTTCCATTCCTCTAATGTACAATGTGAACAGCAATGGCGAAAGAGGGCACCCCTGTTTTAAACCTCTTCGAATGTACACGGGCTCTGTGTATGTACGCCCTTCCCATGTAATGTGTGCCTTGTTATCCTCATATATTGCCCTTAGCAGCCCTACAAATTCCGACCCAATCCCCTCCTCTTCCAGTATATGCCAGAGCAATCCCCTGTCCACGTTGTCATAGGCACCTTTTATGTCCAGAAACAGTAGCCATGTTGGTCTGCCCTGTGCTGCCAAAATTTCGATGGTCTGGGTTATGACGAAAAGATTGTCTTCCAAGCGTCGACCCGGCCTAAATCCATTTTGCAGTTCCCCTAAAATACCGTTACTTTCAACCCACTTCAACAACTCGGCTTTGATGGCTTGTATAGCTAATCTATAGAGCACTGACGTGACTGTAATCGGCCTGTAAGAGCTCGCCTTGTCCCTTTCTCCCTTGCCTTTGTAGATCAAACTCATTCTACTTTCGCGCCAGTGTGCAGGAATCCTCTTGGATTTTATAGCGCGCTCGATGGCTCCATACAAGTGCGCCTGTCCCGCTGGTTCCAAATGGTTGATAATCTCTATCGGGATTCCATCCAGTCCTGTTGCCGCACTTTTGGGAACACTGTGTTCTGCCTTTTTCCAGTCCAAAAATTCGATAATAAATTTTTCATGTGCCACTCTTTTATTTGCCACCTGTGTCCAGTTAGCCGCCCTCTCGTGTGCTTGGCCGAAAGTAATTCCTATGACTCCATGTAGGTATTCTAATGCGCTGTCCCCCAGGAGAACGTTACCGTCCCCGTCCTGTATCTGAGTCTGCATCTCTTTAGTCGTCGTTCCCAATGCTTTCAAATAGTTCCAGAATTTTTGGAGGGCGCTCTTATCCTTCTTATGTATGTATGATACCAATTTCTCGCTCGCAGCTTTAATCTTCGCTTGTACTAGTTTCTGCACCTCAAATTTCTTTTCTCGGCACCGGCTCCACCGTAACTGCACCTCATCATCCTGATATCCCATTTGCTTTGCTTTTCTGTGCAGTCTAGAGGCCCGTGATCGCTCTTCAATAGCCAGATTAAATTCCTTGTCCCACCAGCTTCGTGGTTTCCGTTTACCCCTACAGCGGTTTTTTCCTTACTTTGTTTATTTCCTTTTGTATACAGCTAACAACCTCGTCATATTCCCACAGCTTTGTTGGCTGTGCTTCTAATTCTCTTTCGATGCTATTGACGATGTCTGCTATCTGCTTTTCGTTTACTTTCGGGAGCCCAACCTCCTGTGTTTTCTTCCTAGCCCCCCCCCCCCCCCCCACTGTCAAATTTCAGGATTATACGCCTGTGGTCGCTTCCCAGACTGTTTTCTCCTTCTTCATCTATCGTCATTTGGTTCAACCGCTCGTACGTGTGCTCTGAGACCAGGCCGTAGTCTATGCAAGACTGTCTACTGCCGCTTTGCCACGTTATCTGCCCGTCGCATTTATGTTCCCGGTTAACTATTACCAGTTGCTGCTCTTCACACATATCGCTTTGTGAAAACCACTAATGCCATCTAGTTGTAATATTCCCAAGGACATATACACATAAAGCCATCTATTGAGTAAATCATAAATTTTACGTGGCTACATACATACATACAAAACTACCCACGGCTTAAGGAGCGTCGCCCCTAAAAGTAACGTGTTACTGGTGATGCAGTTTATTGTAAAGCGTGGCCACCATCATGGAATGTCTCGGGAAGAGGAAGGGAAGTTAGGTTGATGAAGGTAGTTGGGAGATGAAGATGGGCAGGACGAGACTGATGCATAGGAGTCATACGCAGAGGGAGGGAAAAGAAGTGATAAAAAAACGAGATAAAATCAAAGACCAAGAGAGAAAGAGAGAGTGAGAGAAGCGAAGTTACAAGTAGCGATAAAGAGAAAAAAATACAAGTAGACGAGGGCACGTTTATCTTGTACAGAGGCTTCCGATGGAATACTTCACATGTAGACGTCCTTTTGTGGTAAAATACCAAGGCGTGTATCTATTGCGCCTATTTATCGAGGGAAGTGGCATCTCTGGAACCCTTAAATGCGAGGAAGTGGCTGTTCATGCCACTCCCCTTTACAAGAAGTAGACTGGGCGTCACTGCGGCGTTTTCGTATTGGAAAGCAACGAATGCACTTAGAGCAAGAAATTTCTCAGCACTGTTCGTGCATAGTGCAACAGAGAACGGTACTGTGCAGGTGCGGTGTTTTCAGATTGCGCAGATTGCCCTCCGTAATGAAAAACGATGGGCTCCGCCGCCAGTGCATAACTGCAGTCAACAGGAAAAACTACGATCCTAGAAGGGTATGAGTGAGTAAACTTACTGCGTGTATTCGAGCCTGCTATTTCGTTTTGCGGCAGTAGTTGGTGTGCAGTGCCTTTAGTATGCACCATCAAATCATTGCCGTATTCCTTCGCAGATGTGCCTGTAATTGGAGATCACAACCCAGGCGTGCAGGTACACACTACGCATGTCGACTACAAATAGAAAAGGGCACATCTGATGCAATTTTTATTCATTGAAAACCCCTTTCAACAGCGACAACATGGTCATAATTATGCGGCAGATTCTTTGTAGCCAAATGAAAGTCTTTGCATTGACATTTAATGGTAATGAGTGATATAAACATTATATTCCCTATTTGAAAATTTTGCAGACATTAGGTTACCCTAACCTATTTCGATAATTTATTTATTTGTCTATTTGTTAAAATAGGAGATTTTGTCATAGAAATGTTTCAAATCATTGATGAAACGCAAAGTTACGTATGTCTAGAATTTCTTTAGTGAAGATCAGCTGTACATTCGGTATATTGTTCTTTGGCACCATTCATGTTAAATCAGTATCTTCGGCACGTGATTGACGACGCGGTCCACTTCACACTTTGGCAGTAAAAAGCCCTGGAAGCAACCCAATATTGTAAACGTGTCACAGAACCAATCTGACAATGGTTATTGTAGTGAGTTGTATAGATGAAGTCCAAGTGAAGTCTTTAATCGTGGCGATAGTATATATCTCACTAGATTGCAAACAAGATTTTGATTCCTGCGATGGATGAATAGATGGCGGAACTAGCCCGGCGATGGCTCAGTCTCACTAATTAAACAATCGCCAATGCCGTTGGAAGAACTAAATCTGGTGTTCTAAGGCTGACTAGCCTGCCGCTAGAAATATGGGCCAAAATAATGAGAAACAGTGAGAGCACATAGCTTGCTTAAATTACCCTCGAACAGTGTGCGAGTGGCAGACGTGCTCACGAAATTGATTCCACACTTCACCAGAAATTATCTTTATTTGCAACAAAAGAAACAATATTACAATCATACATAAAAATTGAAGTAACAATAACACACGTACGCTAATATACAGAATAGCCCGTTACGTGACTGGCAGTGGGATCATGTTAGATTGTCCCAAGGCTATCTTTGCGATGGCTGCCAAGCTGCTCAATCCCGGACATCCTCGGCAACCGTTGGCTTCGTGTGAGACTCCATTAACAAGCCCGGGCTTCAAATGCCCACCCGAAAGGCGATACGTTGAGGCCGTGCTGCTCCAAAGCGAATGTGCCGTCTTCCACACCCAGGGGAGAGATGCTCATGCTGGTTCGAGTCTTCGAATGTTTGGAGCCACTTTGCTGCATTGAGAGCACAAAAATTATCAACAAAGTTTTCAAAACGCATGTTCATAAGCTGCTATACAATAGTTCTTATAATGAAATCTTTCTTATTTGACTCTCAGTTAACTGTGTTTCTCGAATACAATACCAACAATGTCATCTTCGATTTCTGCAAAAAGTGCTTTCAATTGTCGCAGTGTCATTATTCTGCTTTCAGCGTGAAACGTTCCTAAGATGTCATGCCTTTCAGAGTTCAGTAATCTTTGTTCTGAGAGTGCACTTGAATCTACGAAGGCAATAAGTTAGGCGGAAAGTTATTGTAGACGAGCTAAAATAAATTTATGCATGCCAAAATACTTATAATATTCTTGTTTAAGACTAGACCTTGAGTGCGAGCGTAAAAATCTAACTAATGAATTGATGGCAGGATTTTTTTCTATGCATATTTGTAGTACCCATTGGTATTGCGAGCTAACTACGATTCTCTATTATTAAGCCATGTGGGCAGCGTCATCGTATGCCGTATGTACCACATCGACAATTTGGCAATCACGCATATTTATAGGGCGTTAGTTTTTCAGAGAACAGGGATTTCTTATCATTAAAAAATCAGTGACCCTGAGGCACCCTTCCTTTACGCACGAGAACTGTATGTCAAGGTGGAAAGGCTTTGACGGCGCTAAAAGAAATTGAAGTGTCAAAATAAACAAGCTCTTCACTTAATCTTTCATTTATTCAATAAGGCAACGCCATAGCGAGCCACAATTTGTCCTATTCCAATTCGACAAACATCGTGCAAGTTGCACGATATTCGTTATGAAAGTCTGATTCTTGGCTCTAACTTCGCTTCGCGGATCATGGTACTTTTTGATGAACATCTTTTCTTGTCGCTACGAGATTCGCCAATATGGATGAAACTATAACTCAGGAACACTTTACGCAGGAAGCTTTTTCTACTGATTGCTGCAAAATAAACCACGGACAAAATAACATGCCATTATGTACCTCTCTGTCTGCAGCCATCCTGCGCTGCTCCCCAGCACCATGTAGCTGAGGGCTTCTTGCGGAGCGTTGTAGTCGCTTGTGCTGTAAGGCTTGCTTGCTGTTCTTGCCATAGAGGAAGCCGCACTGGAGTAGCTGGTCGACCTTATCATCTCGCTTGGCTTCAGTGTCCCGGTTGTCGGGGAAGATGTCTTCGAGGGCACACTGATAGAATGGGCAGGCAACGACGTCTTTAGCCGCTTCTGGAATACCATTTGTTGAGACCAAGGAGGGCTCCTTGAGAGAAGGCGACTCCTCTGAGAAGGGGGAGTCATGAACGTCGACTAGACGGCGAGACTCGGTGCAAGTCGAAGTATCTGGGCTCATGATTGGTAAGAGGTGGATGCCGTTCGCTTACGCAGCCGAGCCAGGCATTCGATGGCGGGTGTCGAGCGAGCCACTCGCGCTAGCTGGTGAAGATGACGATTCGTCTTGTCTGCGCGCGGTGGCTTGCTTGCTTGCTTGCTTATACCTCTGCTTTGGCTTGTACCCACTACAGGATATTGGCCATTAAATTGGCGGTAATATAATGGGGAAGAGAAAAATTTAAAGTTTATATGAAGAAAAATTAAATAATCAGTCATTTAGGGGCGTGACCTCATAGTCATTTTTCTTTTTCCAGTACTCCATTTTGTGAAGGAAATGCGCTTTGAAATATTCACTTGTCGAGTTCTAGCACTTTCAGTCTAGAGATACACTATGATGGAAGATGTATTCATTTGTCACTGAACGAGAATATAAAACAATTTATTGAACCTGTTTGAATACTGTGTGACGGCTGCCCACTGAATCCCACAGGTACAGCAGTTTTGAAGAAATCGTTGGGTCATTCAACGTTGAGGGTAATAAACAAAAAAATGTTTTCATGAAAAATCATAGCATATCCACAGAGTGAATGATGATGATTGGGGTGAAGCGTCGAAGGGTTTATTCGGTAAACTGTGAATCCTCCATTCGACTGTCAGTCTGTGTGTGTGTGTCTGTCTCTGTGTCTGTCTGTCTATCTGTCCATCCGTCCGTACGCACCTGCTTAGGAAGTCATAAAACTGGGCGGTCACGTAACAAAACACAAGCATGTACAGACCCACGTCTTTAGGAGCTCCGCCCCGCAGCAACAAACGGAGTAATAAAAAGGAGAGAGAGTACTAGACCTCCCAGAGAAACTTTCGCCAGAGAGTCCGCAACTTCCATTAGTACAATTACTGTGTCCCGGCACACAAAATAATCGCAGGTTTCGCAAATGATTAGAAACAAGTGATCTCAATTATCTTATAATGCCGTAATCTGTTGAAGGAGTTAGTGCCGAGCACAACGACAATGAATCTGTAACTATAGCCCAAGAAGTAATGGTTAAATAAATTTTACGTAGGGCTATTATAACAGCTAAGAACTCGGCCTAAATTATTTGGGTGTAATTAGGATGCCTAGCTAAAAACTACCGGTGCAGTTGTGTAGGAAAAATTCCCACCCAAGCCTTTTTTTCACACGGCAAAGCATCAGTTGCTATAACAACCGTAGTATCAATTTGAATCACGTGATCTTGAAAAAAGCCGTTCAGAAGATTACTAGGTAGTAATTTCACATGGTTAGGAAATATATCATCATATGATATGGCTAATTCACTGAACCTGCCACTCGTAGGCACTGTATCATTAAGTCTTATCTGCAATGGGTCCATCAGCTTCTGGGTAACGATTACTTGAGGGGTATGAAAGCGAGGCCATGTTTTAATAAAAAACAGAGCTGGATTACTGATAAATATAAAATCTTTTCGTCTTATCGACGAGTCATAGACTCTTAAGAATGTTTGAATCATTAATATTTTAATCTAACAGGTAAAGAAGGAATTCGTGATTCCTTATATAGAACAGAGTTTCGTACAAATTTGGGTAACACCAGACACCATCGAACTGCTTGGCGCTCAATTAGAATAAAGAGACGTAGGTTCCATGCTGCTACGCCAGAGAAAAAGGCACACCCGAACTACAGTGTACGGCGTATGTAAATCCGGTAAATCAATATTAAGGCGTCTGTCCGCATGCCCCATCGACTGTTACTAATCCTTCTAAGTAGGCCTAACGCACGTGACGCTTTGGTCGCTTTATGTTAAATATGAATCGTGCAGTGGAGCTTTTCATCATAGATGATTCCAAAGTACTTGAGTGTTTGCACTTGGGCAATATCTCCTTGGTGAAATTACAGTGATATACTTATATTGTCTTGCGGGGAGAACGCTAGAAATGCACATTTCTGTACAATAAGAGTTAAACAAATGCTGTCTAGCCAAGCCTCCAAATTAGATAAGTATTTTTTAAACGGGTATAAAGTCGCTGTATGTCATCCGCAGATGCAAAGAATAATATGTCATCCGCGCAGACATACGTGTTCACTCTTTGATGACGAGGAATGGAGCTCAGCAAGATATTAAATAGAAGCGGGGAGAAAAGCGCTCGTTGGGGAACACCTCGTGTCTCTCTGAAATTGCTCATCTTGATGATGATGATGATGATGAATCCACAGACATGGCTCGTACCCACTCAGGGGGATTGGCCAAGAATCGATGACTTAATTAAGTAAGTTTTTCTTTCTTTTTTTTTAAATATCGATACCACCCACCAGAAAAAAAGAATGAAAAAAAGTAAAGACACCCTAGTCAGAATGAATGGAGTGCAATAGTTGCTTGTCACTCGTGCAGATAAGACAACTATTCATTACCTTGAATAAGAATCAGGATAGTTAAACAATGCTCTCGTGTTCGTTGGAATTATTTTGTTTCCTGATTAATAATCACGTAATTAAAAGCTTAATTCTTTTACTTTCATTCAGGTACTTGCAAACTGCGTAGAAAACGTTCTCGTGGCTGAAGCCCAGATCGTAAGCACCGAAGGAAAGTATGTTTTCTATAGTGAAATTCAACCCCAGGTTGCAAATGGGAGGGCTAAGAATGTTTTCTTAAGCAATTTGTATCGGCGACATGATAAAAAATAGTGCTCTATTGTTTCCAATTCTGAACAAAAGTTGCATAGTGGTGATATCGCCAGACCAGCCCTATGTGAATAGAAATTTAACGGGGGGACACGACATCGAAATCTGGTTATTATGGTTTCCAACTGTTTTGTAGGACACCAATGACTTTTCCATGGAAATCTTAAGTGAGTAAATTCTGGTGTTCACAATATTGCTTCCATAGCGTCTGCACTGAGCGCAAGCTTTCTGTATCTTGTCGCCGTTATAGTGGCCACTTCGGGAAGGACTGATAGTACTGGCCCTTCCAATGCTGTTCGTGCTAGAGAGTCGGCGATTTCATTTACTTCTAAGCCGCAATGACCGGGTACCCATACTAATTTCAGTAGCTGCAGCTGAGGAGGAACTAGCATAAGGAGCGTCTTTAAGGCCATCGATTTTGTTGACGCCGTAATCGACGTACATACTGACAGGGAATCCGTTATTATGATCGCATTAGCGGCATTCAAAGGTAGCTTTCGCAGCGCTAGAACTATTGCCAACAGCTCAGCTTCAAAAACTGGGGTGAAATCCGGTAATCTTAATGAAAAGACCAGTCAAGCGAATGTGAGTATATACCTACACCTGTCTTTTCATTCAATACTGAAGCATCTGTGGCTATAATGTTATTCGTTTCCGCATGTGCAAGATAATCCTGCAGTCGGCTATTTAAGACCCTATAGGATTGTAATTTGGCCTTAGAGGGAAAAATGTCATCGAATTCAATCTTAAAAATTTGATTTGTATCCTGCGCAGCAATCACATCTCGAATTTTTACATTTAACCGATCTAGTTGTTTCTGGACAAAAGCAATTTGAGGTGTTCGAAAGCGTGGCCAATGGGCAAGAAAAAAGCTGTCTGGGTCACTTATAAAATCATACTCAGATCGTCTTGGCGCATAGCTATAAAATTTTAGAAACGTCTGAACCGTTAGGATACGAAAACGGCAAGGCAATGTAGGTAATCGTGCTTCCTGATACAAAACATTGTTTCTTACAAACCTCGGAAGTCCTAGACACAATCTCAAGGCTTCTCGTTCCAGCATAACCAGAGGCTTTATTTTATAGGCAGGGCCACCTGAGAACAATACGCACCCGAATTCTAGGATTGGTCGCATATACATTTTATAGATCATCACCATTGTGCTTCTGCGTAGACCATATCGGCGGCTGCTCAGTCTACGAAGAATTCCTAAGGCGCGTTGTGCTTTAGATGCCATGCTTTCTATGTGAGGAGTCCAGTTTAGGTTGGCATTATAAGTTACTCCCAAATATTTAAGAGATTCCACCTGTGGAATGGGCTCTTGTTTATAACATATTGAAATTGAGATGGGATCGGATAACGGGAATATCAATACTGCACTCTTATTTACATTTAAGGTCATGAAGACTGCATCTAGCCATCTCTCCAGCATATTGACATATCTCTGTAGCGTTTGATATAAAGAATATATGTCATTATGTGCCGTGAAAAATGCAATATCGTCAGCATATACAAACACCTTCACGTCCTGGCAATGCGGTATAGTGCTCATTAAGATGTTAAATAGAACTGGCGATAATACAGCGCCTTGGGGGACACCACGTGTTTGTTTGCACTTTGACGATGCGCAACCATCCTTAAAGCAATAAAACTTCCTTCCTCGCAAAAATTCCCTCACCCACGCCAATATATATTTTGGGAGATTGTGGCTCTCTAAAATGTCTAATAATACTGAATGTTCTACACTATCGTATGCCTTAGCAATATCCAATGTCACTAGTGCCGCATGTTGTCTTTTTTTGCGAGCAAGCTGAATGCGGCTTTCTAAATCTGCGTGTGCACACCAGATTGAACAATCAGTTCTGAAGCCAATTTGATTTGGATTTAATATCGAATTTTCCTCCATCCATATTATAACTCTTTTATTGAGCACTCTTTCGATGAGCTTCACCATATTAGATGTAAGAGAACTGGGTCGAATGTTTTCTATGATATATCCGAATCCTTGTCTTTTTTGTATCGGCACTATTTTAGCTAATTTCCACTCATACGGAATCCAGGCATATTTTAACGAATAATTTACAGTGTTTAGTAGGTCACATGGTGATAAT